GGATGATGGATGGACATCCCTGTCCTGACCCCCTGCCCTGGCCTCACCATGAGCTGATGCAGTGTCTGCAGTGAGTGAATGTCCTGCTTGTTCAGATCACACCCAGTGGAAATCCCTGCTGCTCATCCAGCAGCTGCCAGCACCAACCATCTGTAGAAATTCAAGACCACAACTCAAATTAAGACGAATAAAAAACATAAATTAAAACCACAGCCAAGAAACACACACACTCTAAAAAGGCAGACTCAAGAAGCAGCCATGTAAAACAATTCTTGGAATATAGAAAAGGTTTTATAGAAAAGTTTGAAAATGTATAATAGGTCAATGAATATGCAATGGGCTAATAAATTTACAGGAAACTCCAAAACAGCAGGGGTGCTGTTTGTTTCTTTTTATCTCTTTGTCTCTTATTATCTTTTATTAAACCTTTAAAAATCTACCAAAAAAACCCCTTTGTTCTTGATACTGTCATTGTTTTTTAGCTCAAACACTGGGCTGAATGAAGACCTTCAAAATGAGCTTTTTTTCTGTGTTTTGGCACAAAAAGAGTTTTCCTCTTAGGAGGATTGGGTGGGCTTTGAAAGCTTTAAGAGACACAGAATTTCCCAGAGTCCTGCAATCCCTGTGTGCATGCTGCTCTTCCCAGGATTGGCAGTGCACACTCAGTGCAGTATCAGAAACAGTTAATGGAAGAGTTCAAAGTGACAAGAGATAATTCATTGTACAAACTGCACGGCAACATTTCAGCATCTCCAAACCCCCAGAGCACAAAGCTGGGAGTCATCAGTTCATTCCAGAATTGGTCAATGCAGGGATGATCACAAGAAAACCCCAAAGCAACCAAACAATCCAAAAAGGAAGGAAATGACAGAGTGTAAGATCAGGACAGGAAATGAGGAAGAAATCGGTTCCTTTAGTTATTATGATGTAATTTTCTAGCTTTTTTTTTTTGTTTCAAACAATTTGCAGTAGAATAATAAAATCACCTGGGATATAATGGTGAAAAAACTGGTATTGTGTGGCCACATGAAAGCAGCCAACAGAATTTACTTTTCTCTCTCACCCTCACCTTCAGCTAATAATAAATATTATTATTATATGTATTTTACATAATTAATACTTTTTAAATATTTTATTAATTTATACAAAATTATTATATTACTGTTATTATTACTATTATTTTTATTACCATTATTATTATTACTATTACTATTATTATTACTATTATTACTATTATTATTGTAAAAATTATACAAATAAAATAAATAAAAAAGAAACTCTCCGAGTTTATCCAATCCATGGATTTATTCCCTGCCTTTTCACTTTCCTTCCCTCCCCTGCCACCCAACATCCAGGCTGGAGTGTTCCAGCAATCCTGATATCCAAAAATTAAACCCATTTTTGTGCCCTTTTCAGCATCCTCCGTTTCCAGCTCATGGAATTAAGAGGAAAATCGCAGTCAGCTGAATTTGGGGATTTATTCACAATCCCTGAGGGAGGTTTGCTCATATCACCACCATAACAGGATTCTGTAGTTGGATCAACAGGGGTGTAATTTGTAATAAAGTCAAGCTAGATTTATCCTGGAGCACGGGTGTGTGTTAATAAACAACAAACAGGGAAATACAGAGTTATTTCTTTGTAAAACAAGTCAATACCTTGGAGTGTAAATTCCACCCCAGGAGCTCAAGCTGATGACAGTTTAGATTATAAAGTAGACAAATATTTTCCAAGAATCCCTTTGTTTATTAGAACATGTCAAACGCATTGCTTGTTTCTCTGAGGCCCAGGAAAAAGCTCATAGGTTTAAAATAAAGCAGATTTTTATCAGAGTTATCAGAATGGGCAGTAATTAACACTTTTTTTTTGTGATTATTTAAGTGTAGAGGAAGCAGCTCCCTTGGCCTGGCTGTGATGCTGTATCAGCTGCTGCCAGGCACAACCAGTTCCTTTATTTGGGTTTGTAACTCCCTGCTATTTAAAAATACAAGAATTTGGCAAAGCAAATGCACCACAGATTCCCTCTGGGTTTGCCCAGGGTGCTGTGCTGTTAGAAAAGTGCAGTTTATTTTCTTATTTTCCAGGGGAATTGTGCATCCAGGTGTCTCCTTTCCCTCAGCAGCTGGGTACAAACCAAGCTGGGTGGTTTTGACTTCTGAATATCAGCCTTGGTTCATCTGCAGCTGCAAAGATTTCCTCCTCGTCTCATGAAATTGGGGAAGAGCAGAGAGGATGTGTGGCAAAAGGGAATGTGAGCTCAGAGAAGTTTAGGAAACTTGCACAAATTGCATTTCCTAAGGTTTAAGGGACTGGGCAGAGTCAGCACATGAAATATTTGGGGTGATTGCAGGTACAAAGTTCTCCTTCGATGAAGATTTTTGATGTTCCTGCAGATTCAAGGCCAAGTTAATGATCAGCATCGTGGATTTTTTTTTTTTTGTTATTACCACGAGCAGAAAGAAGCAGCGTTGGATCCCACAAACGTGGGGTTTTTGAGCTTTCTGTGCTGTCTGGAGGACACAGCTTTTGACCTGGGGAAGGTTCCAAATTTGAGTGATGGAGTTAAAATCACGAGTGTGCAGTGAAATGGAAGTGTGTGATTTCACACGGTGAAGGGTTTTAAATCTGAGCTTTTTATAATATTGTAAAAGTATGAGACAAGATGGAAGATTTTGGGTGTTGTTTCTTTCTGTCTCCTTCTTCCTTCTTCTTCCTGGTTTCAGGCAGTAATTTCTGGTTGGTCAGTCAGTGTCACACTGAGGATCACAGGAATTTGGTTATTGGGTCAAAAGGAGAAATAATAAAGGTGTTAATTCTCTGTTGGGCTGTTCAGCTGGATCTGGCTCCATTTTGCTCACTTTTAGCTGGTGGCTACAGAACTCTCTGTACTTTAGATAAGATTTAATAAACAACCAAGCCTGAACACGAGAAAATTCATTTCCTTCGTGTTTTATAATCCTGGCTCTGAGTGAAGACAGCAGAAATTTCAGACAAGCCGCTAATTAAGTGGTGCAAATAACATCACCCCGTTAGAAAGCAGAAGGGCTGGGACTTGCTCACACCCAGAAGTGGCTGCGTGTGCCTTGAAGGAGGTGTCAGACAAACAACAAACCCAGGCACCTTTAGCCTGGGAGCTCCAGGAGGAGCCTCGTGCCCGCAGGGGATGGATGGAATTGTTGGATAATCCCCTGGAGTGGTGAACCTGCATTAAAAAAAAAAACCGGGGGATTTCTGGTTGGGGTCTGCCAAAGTCCATCCCTTTTCCTGCCGTGAAGGACAGAAACTTTTTTGAGTATAAAACTTTGCCTTTCCCTGCTCATTCTAACCCTGACTCAGTCCCAGCTCATCCCTGCCTCCCTGGCCAAGGGGGCTGTGAACACCCTGGCTTCTGGGGTGACAAGCTGCAGGGGCAGGAAAAGCAGCCAAGAGGATTCAGGAGTTTTTTTAACTTCGAAAACCTTTTCCTTCTGCTGGAGGTGAGGAGGAGGAGGAGAACAGCAGCGACCAGAGCAGGAAGGAACAGCCCCAGGAGGGCACAGGGCCTGCAGGGAAAACCAGGATATCTCCATTCCTATTTACCACGATGGGGCTCATCTGGGAGGGGAGTTGGTGTGCTTTACACTGGATTTTGTTTCCAGGATAAAAATTGCAGGGCATCACCCCTGCTGTGTCTGTCACAAGGGGGGATCTGGGTCTGACCCACGGCCACAGGGGATCCCTCCCTGCAGAATATTCCTTGGCCTGGTGAGCCTGGGGGAGGCTCAGCAGCTTGGATTCCATTCCAAAGGAATGCCAAAGGGCTCAGGGACATCCCCCAGGAGCTTGGATTCCATTCCTGCAGTGCCACCATCCCTCACTGGGATGCACTGGCCCTTCTCAGGGTCTATCTTTGATCTTCCCCTTGGAAAACAACAACGAGCAGGTGATTTTCCCACATCAATCCACCCCTGGGCACTTCTGCTATTGATAAATCAGCAACTTTTCCTCCTGCAAAGATTCAGATTGCTCAGAGCCTGTTCCATCTGCTGGTGCAAATATAAAATTTCATTTATCCATGAAGCCAAGCCAGGCTCCCACCTCCACCAGTTGGCTCCAATTTGTTTATCCCATTAGCACGTATCAAAAAATCTGTTTAAAAATAAATAAATTCAGGAATTATCTGTGTCTCAGGAATTTTCCAGGCTCCGAAGAGAGCTCTTTAGCACTCACCTGTAATCTTTCTTGTCAAGCAGTAAGAAATGGTTGACTTTTATCAGATCATTCATTCTTTGATTAACTCACCCCAAACTTCCAGCTTGATGCTGTTCCTTAGTTTGTTTCTCCCCTGGAAATGGCTCCCCTGATGATCTCCTGAGTCATTAAGCTGCAGTTTTCTCAGCTGCACTCTAATCATATTCCATGAGAACTCATTAATCATTCCAGCCCCTCCTGCTTTAATGAGACTTTGATCAGAATTGCCTTGAATTTGGGACAGCATTTTGCACCAAACACTTGGAGTTTCCTGTTGGCCCTCACATGATGGGAGCACTGAGGGACACGGAGTTCCTTTTTTTTTTTTTTTTTTGTTTTCCTACAAAAAGCCCCAAAAGTTCTGATGAACCTCGAGTTGTGATTCATCAGGGGGGAAGACAGGAAAAAACAACCCCATGGAGTGTCCAGGTCACCCAGGACAGGGACAGAGCCAACGTCAGCACACAGGGAACAGGGGAAAAGAAAGACAGAACAGCCCCAGAAATATTTCTGTCCCAAACCCATTTGGTTCTGATTAATACAATCCTACCAAATCACATTCATTGTTTTTGATGGTAGTCAGTAAATTATTGATTTCTTTTTATTTCCTTGGAGATATTTTATTTCAGGTGGCAAATTCCTCTCTGTGGATGCAGTCGTGCAGCAGGTCAGCTGTCTGGACCAGGAGAGAGCAACAAACACAGATTTTTTTTCCCCAAAAGTTGCTGATTTAAGGCTGAGAACCTCCCAGTGGTGAGAGGGAAAGGCTTCAAAAAGACAAAAGATGCCAGATGTCCCACCATGAATTTCAATTTCTGGACAAAACACAGAACTCCTCTAAAAGTGAGAACCTGAAAGTGTAATTAAAATAAACGAATTTCAGCCATTGTGAGGTTGGGCTCTGAGCTGCTGGCCCTGGCTGTCCCTGCCTGTCCTGCTGGCTCTGAGTGCTCCTGGATGTTCTGAACACCCCAGGGTGCTCCAAGCATCACCTCTGCTCTGGGACACGACCGTGAGCTGGTGTCCTGCAGGAATCCACAGCAAGCCAGAGAATCAGCTGGATTTTATTTCGCTTTGCAGGGGAAAAGAAATGTGAGTGCCCGTGGGTTTGGAGGCTGGGAGAGGGAGAAGAGCAGAGAGAAAATTCTGAGCTCAACAAGTCCCTTCAGAGAGGAGCAGCCGGCTCGGGGCTCCCTTTCCTGGCGTGTCCTGCTCTTCCTCACTCCTTTCCACAGGGGCTTCCTCCGAGCATCCCCCCCAGGGGCCAAAGCAGATTTTGGGAGCTGCTCTTCCTCACCTTGGAAAGACAGAGCCTGTGCCCTGGCTGTGCCCTGGGGTGACAGGAAACTCGTGGGTGTCCGTTCAGTCCTGGCAGTGCTGTCTGGAATAACTGCCCGGGGAGGAGGTGATGAAGAGGTGATGAAGAGGATGGGGACGTCCCCTCTCCAGAGTGACAGCTTCTCCCAGGCTGTGCTCAGTAGCGATCCTTTTCCTCTGGCAGGTGGCAAACGCCTGATTCTCCTTCCCCAGGGGTTCCCTTTGGCTCGGCTCATGCAGAGCTCTCCCGGGAGAGGCCAATCCCCCCGTGGCCAAGGCCAGCAGGGAATGGCAGCTCCTGCTGCTCACCCGGGCTCGCCTTCTGCCCTTTCTCCCTTTTCATCCTGCTGTGGGCGACAACACAGAGCAGCACGGCCACCGTGAACTTGGCCACCAGGAACCCAGCCAGGATGTAAAAAACAGAGAAATCCACACCAGGAGGGGACCTGTGGGGAGCCACAAGTGCAGCCATGAAGGGGATGGCCCAAAATTGGGCTTAGCTCCAATGCAAGTGCAGGTAAACACGGCTTAAGGGGAAAACCCTGCAATAGTGGTGAGTAGAAAAATCACCCCCAGAATCCTCCAGTTCTAGGACGTTGATCATTGCCAGAAATTTCTCTGCTTCCCTTGTGATCATTGGTTCCTTTTTGCTGCAGTCATTTTAATATTCCTAATTGCCCTTCCCTATTGGATCCCCTCCCAAAACTCTGCCCTAATTCCTCCCCTCCTCCAAGTTTATAAATACCCCTGCCATGCCCTAACACCTAAAAAATAAATGTCCACAGCCGAAAAAACTCTTTATTGAGTTTTCTGCTCTGTTGTTGTTGATCTTGCAGTTATTGTTGTTGTGTTTTATTTCTCTTGTTGCATATATATATATATATCAATAAAGAATTGTTGTTCCTACCCCCATATCTTTGCCTAAAAGTGAAAATTAATTAATTTCAAAATCATAGTAAAGTAAAAGAAAAGGGGGGAGTTATACTCTCCTTTTAAAAAAACAAAACCCTGTCTCTTTTAACAAATACCTGTCTTTCAAACCAAGACACACCTGCTTTTTGCCATTTTGCCCTCCTGCACGGATCAAACCTCCCTGTTCCATCTTTCCTGGCTTGTTCAGTCCAAACTGTTCATCTTGCTGTTTGTTATTTTCTAGTATTAAAGTTTTTTCATTCCCGAACAATGGGGTCAGATTTTTTTTTTCTGCATAAAATCAGCGAGTTCAGTGAAGCCTCTGAGGCCAATAGCCAGGCTAGGAAGGATCAGAGGTTACAATCCAACCTTGAGAAAAATCTCCTGTAGTGCTGCCTTAGTCCTAGGGGGATTAGAGGAGTTTTGGGGCTCACCTGGAGATGCTCTGCACGGCTCTGGGCTCCTCTGGCACTTGGGTCACCAGCTCAGCTGTGATGGAAACACAAGAGTTTAGAGTGCAGGTGTGTGTGGGTGATGTTCAGGTGGGCAGGTAGCCCAGGTGAGACGGGGCACTGAGGACATCAAAGGTGTCAGATGCCCTCTGACACTGAGGGCACGCTGCTGTAAATCAGGAATAAAAAGAGGCAGTGAAACACAGAAACTCCTCAGAGTGACACCAAAGTAGGTGTTGGCTCAAGTGGGCCCTTGGCAGCTGCAGACACCCATGAAATTCCAATAGGAGCCTGTGAAATTCCAGAAGGGACCTGTGAAATTCCAACAGGAACCCGTGAAATTACAACAGGAACCTGTGAAATTCCAGCAGGAACACATGAAATTCCAAAAGGAACACATGAAATTCCAATAGGAACACATGAAATTCCAATAGGAACACATGAAATTCCAATAGGAACACATAAAATTCCAGTAGGGACCTGAGAAATTTGAAATTACATCAGGAATCCGTGAAATTCCATCAGGAGCCTGTGAAATTCCAGTAGCAACCCGTGAAATTCCAGTAGCAACAAATGAAATTTGAAATTCCACCAGGAACACATGAAATTCCAGTAAGAACTCGTGCAATTCCATCAGGAACACCATGAAATTCCATCAGGAACCCCAGAAATTCCACGAGGAACCCATGAAATTCCACCAGGAACCCCTGAAATTCCACCAGGAACCCATGAAATTCCAACAGGATCCCCCTGAAATTCCACCAAAACCCCATGAAATTCCACCAGGAACCCCAGAAATTCCATCAGGAACCCCTGAAATTCCACCAGGAACCCCAAGAAATTACACCAAGAACCCACGAAATTCCAGTAGCAACAAATGAAATTTGAAATTCCACCAGGAACACATGAAATTCCAGTAAGAACTCGTGCAATTCCATCAGGAACCCCATGAAATTCCACCAGGAACCCCTGAAATTCCACCAGGATCCCCATGAAATTCCACCAGGATCCCCATGAAATTCCACCAAGAACTCATGAAATTCCACCAAGAACCCATGAAATTCCGATAGGAACCCCTAAAATTCCACCAGGAACCCCATGAAATTCCACCAGGATCCCCATGAAATTCCACCAAGAACCCCATGAAATTCCACCAAGAACCCCTGAAATTCCACCAAGAACTCATGAAATTCCATCAAGAATCCCCATGAAGTTCCACCAGGATCCCCATGAAATTCCACCAAGAACCCATGAAATTCCACCAAGAACCCCCAGAAATTCCACCAAAACCCCATGAAATTCCACCAGGAACCCCCTGAAATTCCACCAAGAACCCATGAAATTCCACCAAAACCCATGAAATTCCACCAAGAACCCCAGAAATTCCCCCGGGATCCCTCCAAACTCCCCCCCGGGCCGTACCTGCCAGCACTTCCAGCCGCACCTTCCTCAGGCTCCTGCTGTCCCCCAGGAACTCGGTCGTGCACCGGTACAGCCCCGCGTCCTCCTTGCGGAGTCGCCGCATGGTGACGGTCAGGAGCCCGGCGCTGGCATCGTCCCGCAGGGTGGCACTGCCCCTCCTGGCCCGGGGGAAGGGCAGCCAGGCCGGGGGGACACTCAGAACCTGCTGGCACCGGTCCCGCTCCAGCTGCCGGCACCAGCTCTTCCCCCGCCACCACTGGCGCGGGTCGTAGGAGCAGTTGACAGAAATGGTGTCCCCCTCGACGGCGGCCAGCACGGTGACATTGTCTGCGACACACGGAGCTGAGAGGGACACAGGGATGGAGGAGAGAGGGAGGGAGGGATGGAGGGATGGAGGGAAGGATGGAGGGAAAGAGGGAGGGAGGGAGGGA